GTGTGTGTGTGTGTGTGCTCTTCCTCTACAGGGTCGCCTGCTGAACCTGAGCTGTTCCACTGTGCCCACTTTCGTGCTCTCCATCACCGCCACTACCCAGGTAAAACGGGGGATCAATTTCTGTCTCATTTACATTGTTGTACATGATTAGTTCTGCTTTGTATTTTTTTTGTTTTGTGCCTTATTTTTATGAAACAAGAAGTTGTGTGTAGGTGAGTAACACTTGTGTGTCTCTGCGCAGGCTCTGGCTCTGATAGAGCTGTACAATGCTCCAGAGGGACGCTACAAACAGGATGTTTACCTGCTGCCCAAGAAGATGGGTAAGATTTTTTGTCAGTTCAGAATCTGTTAATGGAATAAAACTTGAACACAGACAGCTAAAAATACACACAATTGTGGTATGAATGCCTATTGGATAACACAAACACAGTAAGATATCAGGCCAGGGAGATAAACAATAACCTTGTTTGGTACTTAAGTAGCCACCAAGCAGGAAGTGATTACAGTTTGTTTTTGCCCCAGCAGAGAGCCTGCAGGCATTTTGAATTTATCTCCATAGACAACACAGTCAGTCTCATCTGTTCAATCCAGACTCGTCTCCCTGGATAGCGTATCAGTCACAGTAGAACGAGTCCTGTGTGTCTGTGCACATACGTGTGCGTGCATACAGCCTGTCACACTTCTTAGCTTAGTGCGTGAGAGCGGAGCACATATGTAGTAAAGAAAAACATAGAGCCAAATGTAGGTCACCCTGTCAGCGATGACTGCTGCTGCTGCTGACAGAGAGACGATGGAGAGGAATGAAAGAAAGGAAGGGTTGAGATGAGGAAAGAAGGAAGTAGGAATACAAAGTAGGAGAGTAATGCGGATGAGGAGGAAGATGGGAAACGTCCTCGAGCCCCACTGCTACTTCTCTTCCTTTTCTCATTTGAATGATTAACCAGGCACAGACGCCTGCTGAATGGTAACATGTTCTTCCTCTCTCTCGCCCTCCAGATGAGTATGTGGCCAGCCTACACCTCCCCACGTTTGACGCACATCTTACAGAACTGACTGACGAGCAGGCCAAGTATCTGGGCTTGAACAAGAACGGGCCCTTTAAGCCAAACTACTATAGGTATGGAAACATTCTTATTTTGGCAGTCCAAACGGTACGTGTTCGGAGAGAGCTTATGAGCCTTATGTAATGTTACAGACTTCTCAAATAGAAATGTATAGAAAACGAATGGGCGGTATCTCTGTCTGCCTACATAGATTTCCTCGAAATACTGCTGGTTCTGTGGTGTTAGCCTTTAGAATCTGAAGCCTGCAGTGCGCCACAGCAGCATCAGCTGATGTTTTCTGTACATTTCGGGAGTTGTCTCAGTTTTTTTTTTCTATCATCCCAACGTGCGTCCCTTCTGTTTTTCTCCTTAAGGTATTAAACAAGTGTTGGGGTTGGACTGAAGAAGTACAAATACTCCACGAATGGCACAGACTCATAGAGGGAGAGGATGAGGAGGACAGAAGGAAGGAAGGACGGACGGACAGAATAGTCAACACACCTGCTTTATATTCTTGGAGGGGAGGGGAGGGGAGGAGCTCTGACCGATCCTAAGGGGGAGGGGGAGGAGGGGCGTGGCTTTCCCTGCGCTTATGGCAGTCGTTTTATTTATTCACGCTCGACAACAATAATAACATTAACTCTAACTCTGCCATTCGCCGCTAGCTAGCTTCCCTCCTACTCGTCATTTCACCATTATCTCTTTAGACGCTCATTTGTGTGTCGAGTTGTATGTAAATCCTCCACCCTCCCCTCCCATTGCCAGATCTTTTATTGTTTAACTATTAAAGATGAAATTATTGATGCTAAAAAAAGATATATACTATATATATAAAAAAAAAAAAACCTGATTTAAAAAAAAAAAAAATAATAATAATAATTCTGTGTGAATGAAGATGACCTTTAAAGATTTAGTGACGGACATTTTTTCCTGTCCTTTTTTTCGTTGTCGTCGTCTTTTCTTTTCTACTTGTGATTATATTTTTGTTTTGTTTGTCTCTCGTGTAATACTGCGGGGCGGGGTTAGACCTAGTGGGGGAGGGGGTTAGGCGGGATCTCAGGGTCCAATCATATCATGTCTTTTATTTGACCGTTCTATTGAGATTCACCGTTTTGTCTGTTTTTAAACATTTTTTTTATGCGTTCTGTCCCTTCAGATCAGCCTGTAGTTTGTCAGAACTTCTTTTTTCTTTAAGTATGACTGGATGTTGACCGGTTCTTCCCACCTGTCACTCAAAGCCGCAGTGAAACCATCTCATTGGCTGCTTCTCTTTCTCGGCTTCCAGCTGCTCACATAGCGCCAGTGTTGAAGTAATGAAAAGTATTTCAAGCTAGTGAGAAGCTAACCTTTTTATTTTGTCTTTCCCTTTACCAAGAATGACTATACTGTATTAGAAGCATGGCAGGTTGTCAGATCATTACAAGGGGTATACTGTATATTTAGATATTTATATTGAAATTAAGATTTTTCTATCTTTTTCTCTCGTACGCCATCTAATATCATTACTTTTGGGGGGGGTGGGGATCAACATATGTCATAAAGATAAGCAATTAAGTGTTCTAATGATAAGTGTAATAAATGTACTTAAACCCTCATTTTTAATACTGTGACAGAAAATATTTACAGATACCAAACGTGCAGCGAGTTGCTGCCAGGCCGGTACTTAAGCAGAAATCTTCAATCAGGTCCTCATTGAAAAGTATGGTGCTGTTGAGATTTACTGTACTTACCATACATGCCACAACTCTTTGGTACTCACAGATGATCTGGGATCTGAATTCCACCGTAATATATTTTCTCTGCATCCAAGAAACGCGTTTACCTTTTCTGCAAATTCATCGGATTTTTCACCTTTTTTTAAAAAAGATGTCCAAACTCACCATCCCTGATTTTTATATTTTAGCTTCTTCTTCCCACCTGCTTATATTCTGCCGGTATAATGAGCCGCACAGCCGTCATCCTCGGCAGCTCGTCCCCAGCTGACCTGCTGGTGGAAATTAGGAAGTCCTGACAGTCATTTCACCTGACAGCCAAGTGCACCCCGCCGCTATACCGGCTCTGCACCTGATCCAATCAGATTCTCTGCTAACCTGCAGGGAGACTGCCAGCTCTGCTCTCTCAGAGAGGGATCAAATGCTTAAAAACACACACACACACACACACACACACACACACACACACACACACATACAGTAGCTCATTATCCAGGTCTGAAGATTTCCTGCTCTGTATATGGAAAATAAATGTGATCATTTTACAGCTTTTGAACAGGAGGAAATGGCACAAAAAGCTTTGTTTACCAGTTGAACAGACACATTTGCTCACTCAATGTACAAATTTGCCACATTTTCATGCAATTATGTTTGTGTGTAAGTTTATCATGATACCAACCAAAGTCTTTAAAGGAATGGTTTGACATTATCCACTTTCTTGCTGAGAGCTGAGAAAATTCATACCACTGTCTATATGATAAATATGTTCCTGGAGCCAGCAGCCAGTTAGCTTAGGTTAGCATAAAGCTAAAAAGGTAACAAAGTCCAATTACCAGCACCTCTAAAGTTCAGTTTTTGTACAAATTAATAAATACAGATGCAACATGTTAATTAGTGAGCATTAAAGGTGCTGGTAGGTTGACTTTATTACCTTTTTGGAGGGACCCAGGCTAGCCGTTTCCCCCTGCTTCTAATCATTATGCGAAGCTAGGCTAACCTGCGGCTGTCCCCAGCTACACATTTACCGTATAGACATGAGAGTGATATTAATCTCCTCGTCTCACTCTCTGCAAGATAGCGAATAAGGGTCATTCCCAAAATGTCAAAGTATTCCTGTTAAATTTGGTAAAAAACAAATGAAGAAATTTTAATTTGAAAGGTGTGTAGGGACCTCTCAGATAAACCCAAAAAAAAAGAGCCTACACTGTGTCACAGCCCCTACAACCTCAATGCCCCATTGTCTCCTGCCAGTGTGTGTGCATTTGTCTCTTCGTGCTATTGAGAATCCCCTCTTACAGTAGTGTGACCTGTTGTCAGTGTAGTTCCTAAACCTGTCGTTTCGAGTCTTATTTCTTCCCTTCTTTTTAAATGTGAATGTGTGTGAAAGAGTACGTGACCTCTTGAGAGAAAGCTGATTATGGATGGTGGTGTGTGTGTGTGTGTGTGGTGTGTGTGTTGTGTGTGGTGTGTGTGTGTTGTGTGTGTGTGTGTGTGTGTGTGTGTGTGTGTGTGTGTGTGTGTGTGTGTGTGTGTTGTGTGTGTGTGTGTGTGTGTGTGTGTGTGTGTGGTAGTCTTAAATGTCTTTCCTGGTGTTTGTACACAATCCTTTTTATTGTAGGCCATGGTTCGTTCGCTAACAGCTGCCTCAGGATCCTTAGCCCTGTCGTTAGGGGGAAGACAACCATTTCCTTTGTTGTCGTCCAGCCGTAAAGCTGACCAACACGTGGGTGGGTGGGTGCGGTGGGCGGGGGGACGACACCAGCAGCATCAGTATATGTCATATACCGTACTATATACAGATATGACAACCTTTAAAAGTAATAGGAAGGTAACAAGAAGACTCGACTCCTGTATTTATTGTTGTAAATCCTCCATACAGTGCAAACTGGCAAAATTCTTAACATGTTTTAAGTTGTCTAATAAAGAAACAACCCTATTTTAATATTGCAAGTGATATGGTACGATGATGGAGAATAATTAAAAAAAAAAAAAAAACTGTAATCTTAATGATTTTAAAGCATGTTAAAAATTGTCAACCAATTTTTCGTGTGCAATCTCCTCCTTGATTTAATAGCAAACGCCTTCAGCACATAATAAGCCACTTTGTCCTCAATGTAGCCTGTGTGATGTGTGTTGTTTCATAGTGGATTGATTTCTGAGTGTTTGTGTGTTGGAAAGGAGGGAAGGGGACCCATGTGTGTCCAGAGCTAAGCTTGCTGGGGTTCCGTCAGAAGGCGCAAGTGATCTATCACTGAGCCCGTCAGCAATCAGAAGGGACGTCTCCGGAGCATCAACAAGCGGCTGCCGAGCCCTTCAGTTATTCTTGACACACAAATCGCTCCACAGGGTTAAATTACTAGATTGACACATAAAATAATTCATTTGAACGATCCAAACTAGTGATTCAACCGATTTTAGAAATGTCAGCACCTCATCTCCTTAATATAACTACAATTAAGGTTTGACACAAAGCTGTTGACGGCATATTTTTGAAGGCATAAATACAGTAAAGTCATTTAGTTTGCTTTCAAACTAAGATCCAATTTAAATGTTCTTATATGTCGATTTTCTGTTCTAGGCACTCCAACCAAAATAACCCTGATACGAATGTTCACCAGGGTTATTTTAACTTGGGTTTGGAGACTTACAAGCAGAAAAGCCTGCATCAGAAAACTGGGTGGTTAGTGAATGTTTTAAAAGATTTGAGGCATTTGTTAGCTGAGATTCAAATAAGTAGCTTATGGGAATTGTAGGTTACCAGTGTCTTTTGGAGCTTGACCCCAAAGCAGGACTAAACATCAGGATATCTTTCACCCGAGCCTGCTTTGATTTTGAAGTTGGGGGCTGAAAAATCCCTAAATCCCTAAACATAACTGTTACCCAGTGGACGCTCAAATACACCAAACTGTAGAATAACATTTTCAAAAACAGCGCTTTCCTCTATCAAACGCACTTTTCTCCTTATTGGCGTCCTGATTGGTTTTCCATTTCCAAGTCAGCGCCCAGTGCCTAACAATTTTAAACCTCTTCACTGCTCTCGTTAATCTACAGCATATCAGTAATCGTCTTTTGTAAATGAGTCTGTTTTTAAATGGATTTATAGTTTTTGTCAAGACTCTGACTGAATGACTTTAATTAGGTGAACTAAGCCCGCCGTGCCCTGCCATGCGGGGTCGACTGTTTCACCAGAAAGCTCAGTGGCTTACATGTCAACGTGTACAGGATTTCAACTCATGTCATCCTTAAGTGGTTTTCACCAGTCAGGCGGTGTGGGGTTGTGTGTGTGTGTGGGGGGGGGGCGGGGGGTCGGTCAGGAGTGTTTGGCAAATGCTTACACAGTACCCCACCTCCACACTAATAGTCAATTTCACTTTCTCCTCTGCTGGGGAAGCGTGGCAGGTGGGAGGGGAAGTGGCCCCCCATCTCCGACCTTCGATCCCAACATTTAAAAGATCACACAGATTTAGCACTGCAGGCATACCTGAAGTGACCCTGGCAGCAGCAGGTGTGTTCAATAGACATTCTATTACCAACCGGAAGACAAGCTGCCTGTCTTCTATGTTTGATCTCAGTATTGAACCGGTGGGACAACACTCGTCCTCCCCAGCCTGAAGCTGTAAATTTTTGTGGGTTGGTGTTTCTTACCGCATCGGAGCAGGCATAAACAACACAGAGATGACACCTTTTCATTTGCACTTTTAGTGCAGTTTTAGTCAGTTGCACACTAACATATCAAATAATCTAGTACATTTTTCATTTAGTAATTTTCTCCCTATAAATGGTTAAATAGTTCCTGTCTGGTTTATATGTTGTTGTGGGTTGAGGTTTGTAAGTTTTCCCACTATTGACTATACTGAGGAGCATAACATGGTATTTTTAAAGTTACAATCAATGATAGGTAGATCAAAAGTTTTTATCAGTGTCATCCCAAAGTACTTTACAGAATGCACTAACCTGCCTAATGTTGCTCTGACAGCTTTAAAGTTACGATCTTAAAACTTTCATGACCAAAGAGCCCATTTTCTGCATTATTTTTCAGCAATAGCCATTCAGTGTGTTTACATTCTGTATTTAACATTATGGTTTAGGTCAGTGGCGGAGTCCGCCATTCATATTGCCCTAACACAGAAGGGATTCACAGGAAATTGTGCATTTACTATTTCACTACATAATAATGTATTATCTTTAGCTACAGAAAATAGATAAATATATAAGAATAAATGATTAATGTTATTAGTCAAATTAATCTAATTCTTGGCTAACCACTGATATCAGCACTATTTTCTGCCAGTAACATTCATTTACTGACATTCAAGTAAAGTCAGGGATTTCAAAATAGTCGTGCTTATTTTAATATGTGTGTATCAGTCCTCCTTCAGCCCTCCACACAAGTACGCTGACCCTGTGTCACACCTCGCCGTTTCACTTTTATGTGGTCAGCTGACGCCCCTCGTTGCTGTCACGATGACTCTCTAACCCCGCCTTCTCGGGGCGCACAGGGACAGCGAACCAAACAGACTGGGGGAGTAGCAGCAGCAGCAGGAGGGGGAGGAGGAGGAGGAGGAGGAGGAGGAGGAGATCTTCAACTTGGGCTCCGGAGCCGGTGCTCCTCCTGGTGCGGTGCAGTCACAGCTCTCCACCGGACCGGTATGCACTACCCGCGGAGGAGGAAGTGAGCCGACCGAGAGAGAATGATGCAGGCGGAGGACATGGAGGTACCTATCATTAATAACCTTAACGATAACGGCGACAGACAGAGGCCGAAAGGGAAAGATGTGTTCAAGGATCAGCAGAAGGAGTCGGAGGTAAATCGGGAGAGGTGTTTGTGTACAGTGGGCTACTACAGCTCACGGTATAGGAGCGCACTGGAG